TTGGGTTTTTCAAGCTTGGATAACTATTACCTTATTCTACTCTTGAAATGCATAATTATCTTTAAAAGAAAGTTATGGTGAAGTTCGCATTGTGTTATTTGAACTTCAGATTAAAGGTTAGCTTTAATTTGCTTACTTTTTCAATATATAATCCCAAAAAAGTTTAGATGAGATTAAGATTGATCAAAGTTAATTATGCTATGAAACAAGGTTGAGTTAGGCTATTATATTTTATTTTCATTAAATTTTTAATTTTGTTTATTTTTAAATAAAAAAAAAAAAAAACCGATGAAAATTTGAAATTTGTATCAATGACATATTTTAAGAAATATTTTTAATTTCGTTATTTTTTTCTTCAATCAACGAAATTGAAAATATATTTGACAAAATTGAATAGTGAACCTTAATCTCACAGCAAACTGATAAAGAACGAAGAAGAAGAAAGCAAAAACACAATTTGACTAATTACATGACAAAGGAACTTTCCTTAAACTATTTTTTTTTTTTTTTTGAAAGTTGAATCTTTTAAAGTTGGGTGTAATTTGGCTTTGACTTTCCAACAAAAAGATAGATGAGGGAGGTTTCGTAAGTAACATTCTTACAATCGAAAATGATTCTTTAGTTATCATTTAGAATTAAAAAATTCCAAGAAAATTTCCAACTATTGTGGCCGTAGATATAGATTTAATAATTGTATACAAAATAAGTGTCATATTATAAAAATGATATAAAAATAATATGATTTAAAATTTTGATAAAAATTATATATAAATTAAATTAAAATATGTTTGATATTTGACATATTAATATGAATTATAATATAATAATTTTTATATTTTATATGTAATTAATATAAAATAAATACTATATAAATAAATAAATTATCAATTTACATATAAGCAACAAGAAGTAAAGAAAGTTTGCTCGCCCTTTGTAGGTTTGCCGTGATCAAGCAAAACACATTTGCATTTCTCTTCGGTGAAAGCGAATTTGATTTGAACAAAAAACAAGGCAAACACATAAAGAACATTTTCCAAATCCAGATGGCGTTTGCAACTCAATGCAAAAGACACTTTGATAAGATGAGACAAATGTGAAGATTACGATTAGTTGTCTTCATTCTTTGTTGTATTTTTTTTAATTGTTAATGCGTGTAAAAGTAAGAAATTTATAAGGTACCAAGCAATTATCAAATTTGTTTTTTAAAAATATAATTAACACCCCATTATAATAAAATGCATTTTGGTAGGAAAAATTATGTTATTATTAATTAATAAGTTATACTATATCTATTTAAGGGTTGGGTTATCTATCTAAATTTGAAAGCTCGCTCAAATTTTGAAAACATTTAAAAATAATAATAAAATTTATTAAATGGACTTGAGTATAATTTTTAAATCTGTTTAAATTTTAAACCAAATATTGTATAAAAGATTTAAAATTCGAATTTGGCTCAACCAAACTCAAATTTATATATATATATATATTTATTTATATATATATGTGATTTATATATAAATTAATTCACATTTATATAAAAATTAAAATAAAAATTATACATTTTATTAAATAACTTTTATTTTTAATTTATATATATAGTGAGTTGAATATAATCCCATTAACTTTATTTAATTATATATTTTTAGTTTTATTATATAAATTAAGTTTAATAAGTGGGCTTGAATTTTTTTTATTTGAGCTAACTTGAGAAAATTTTAAGATTCGAAATTTTAAGTTGGATCGAATTTGGATAAACATAAAAATTATCAATATTAAATATAAATTCGATGTTAACCAAACTCAAGTCAACCCATTAGCATCTCTATATCATATGTACCACAAAGTAATTAATGAATCAATTTTAAATAAGAGTAAATTATCATTTGATCATCTAATTTTTTTATATTTTTTATTTTGATAATTTAACTTTAAGAAAATAACATTTTAGTCACTAATGTTAAGTTTTATCTTTTCAAAAAATAAAGCATTGATCACCATTTAGATCAGCTGCTCCTCAGGGCAAGAAAAAAGTTAGAAAATTTAATTTCTTTTTCTTTAATTCCTTTTTACCATGCCATGTAGACATGTTGAATGATGACAATGCTGGTGTTATATTGGTGATCAAAATTCAAATTCTAGATCTCAAACATAAAAAAAAAAAAAAAAAAATTAAACTTATTTCTCTTATTAATGACACCATCTAGTTAATAAAAATGATTTCATCCATAATTATAAAAACCTAATTTAGATTTAAATTCTATTTAGATGGATGGTGAGATTAAAAATAATAATAATAATTACTATAACTGCGATTAAAAAAAATTATTGCAGCTACAATTAAAAAAAATTAATTAAAAATTTTTACTAAATGAATTTAATTGAAATTAGTATTTGGATTCAATTAGTGATCCAGTGAGTTCAATCTGATGTGGTGAAATCCAAATAAACATTAATTCTTGTTAAAATCATAGGTTAAGAAACATAACACACATGCGTTCAGACATATAGACCCATAACTTCAACATCATTTATATAAAAGTATATTAGTTAAATGTAGTTTACAAAAAGCTTGATAAAGTTCCAAATGAGAGATTCTACATGTTGGAGATGGAACTAGGCCTATCTCGAGAGTTCCTTTTCTCTTTGTTGGGATGCTTAAAGGGAAAAACAAAAAGAATCAAAGAGAAGAGAGAGCAAGAGCTAGATGTACCATGATTCTAGTAGTTTATGATGTGGCCACTTTCTCTTATTTAAGTTTTTCTTTCGCTTTTAATTTTTACGAGTAAGGTTTTAGCTAAGAGGTGTAATGATAATGGGAGATCTTAACTTTTAATTTTGAGGGAGGCAAAATAATATTTTATAATAATTTTTTTAAAAATATATTAAATTTATTAATAATAAAAAATAGATGTAAACATATAATAATAAAACTTACAATTATAAGAATGCTAATATATAACTATATATATTTAACAAAATAAATATATTAAGCAATTGGTCTCATGATTTGTAATTATAAATCACTAATAATATTTTTTATAAAAATAAAATTATTAGTTTTTTACAATATTAACACATTATTTTATCATATTTAATATTTAAAATATTAAAGTGAAAAAATCACAAAAATATATATTTTTTAAATAAATTAATTTTAAAACAATAAAGTAAAGATTTTGATACAATAAATTAAAACTTTCTAAATTTTTACAATGGTATTTTTACATTATGAAAAATTAAAATGTATTTAAACTAATCTTATTAATTATTTTGACATAAAACAATTTTCAAATAAAATGAGCGTGTAGAATATAATAAAAAGATTGATTGAAAAAAAGAATTACAATTGGATATTTGTTAAGTTAGCTTTAGTTAGAGATAGCAATGGGTCGGGTTGGATGAGTTTTTGCTCACATTGAACTTGATACAATTTTATATCCATAATATTTGAATTCGATCCAATAAATTTTTTTAATTTTGTATACTTAAATTCGACTTGATTCGATATTGTATAAAATCATATTCGATCTGACTCAATTCAAAATTAATAAAATATTATTTTTTAATATAAATATAAAATTAAATAAAAAATTTTAAAAAATAACTTTTTATATATATCGAGTTGGGTCAGGATGAATTTACTTAAAATTCAATCCTAATCTTATCTCGATTTTTTGTCACATTATCTCACCCAATCCAAAATCTAATTTTCAAAAAAAAAAAAATATTAGGTCTTGGATTATCATTTTTAGCTTTAATTATTATGATATTTACATATATTTTAAACTTAAATTTATATGTTTGTGAAAAAATAGTATTGAAAATTTTATTATTTATTTTAAATTAAAAATTATTTATAATAAATAAACACAAGTTAAAGAATTATTTTTTATTTTGAAATTAAGAGTTGTAATATTTAGATACAAATAACTTTTGTAATTATATATCCAATATAAGTATATAAAATAAAAAATAATATATATAAAAGTTTTTTTTAATTATTATGAAAATAATATATGTATAAAAAAATTCAAAATTTTTGAGAGGGCCATGGTTCTTTAGACGATCCGCTAATGTGCCATGATCATGCGCTCGAATTTGAGTCAGATTTTATTATATTAGAAATAGTTCCTGTGAATAAAGTTTTTTTTTTTTTCAATGAAATAATGAATAGCGGGAGCATTTTTTTTTATTAAAAATATTATTATTTTAATATTTATAAATATATTTTAACTTAAAATTAAATAATCATATACACCAAGACAACTAATTATCCAAGCGGCTTACGAACACACGGAACTTCATTTAAAAAAAATATTTATTTGAATATAAATTAAAAATAAAAAATTTATTTAAATACAATAAAAGAATAAAAATTTAATTTAAAAAAGTAAAAAAGTTCTGGAGCTCGTTAAGAAATTAAGCTATCGAAAATGCATAATCTAATGTAGGGAAAAACTGGTGGCTGAATTAACATTGAGAGGGAGAATCCTAATGAAATTGTGATTATTTTTATTTCATTGTCTGCCTCATAACAAGGAAACATAATTCACAAAGTTGAATGTATTCGTATATGAGTTTATATTTGATGTTTTGTTAGTATATAAATTTTATACATTATTAATAAATTGAATGATAATCTTTGTTAATAAAATAAATAAATGATACTATTTCATTAATGAACAAATTATTTTTAAAAATTAATTTTTATATATTTATTTTAATTCATTAATGAGTAAATTATTTTTAAAAAATTAAATTTTATATATTTATTTTAATAATTAATATTCACTTATCAATGACGTACACCATCTAATTCATTGATAAATTATAAAATTTATATATTAAATTATTGATAATACATTAAATATAAATTCTCTGTATATATACATACCACTTCAATTCAAATTAATGAATTCATGAATTCAAAACGGGTGAGCTTTTATCTAATTCAAAATCAAGCCATTTTTACATGGAGTTCGTTAGAAACGCACCAAATGGCAGAGATTTGCATCAACTTTAATTTGGGGTATTATCCAAATGAACTCTTCCACTAGTTTGACTATTACAAAGTTTATGTATTTGAGCAAAGCTTATTTGAATTCAATGTCTGCTTTATGCAAGATATAGAGTTCAATTAGGATGTCATGATCTACAAGTTGATTTATGCTTTTGACTCGTGATATTTTCACTTACCTGATCTAGAGGCCTAGGCACTATTCTGTTTGCCATAGAACACCATCCTATAAACGAACAAATTGCATTGAAATTGAACCATTAATATGAACCACTTGTAAAAATGTTGCAGATTCAAGTTCTCCACTAAACATTATACAGATTTGAAGTAATTTTATGCTTTCAGTTCTTGTAAAAAAATATGAAACAAATATATATTCACCCACCGCTTATAGGAGGTATGATGGCTAACTCATCTTTGTCCTTAACAACAGCTGACTCAGTTGTATACTCCTCGTTGAGAGCAAGAACGATGCACCCACGAATCTCTTCCAAGTCGGGAAACTTGGCAACAAGCTGGTTTAGACAATCCTGTGTAGTACTACCTGACGGAACCTCCAATGATAATTCAGTCAACCCTGTTATGTCTCGAGCTTTGGCAAAGAACAGCACCTTTATCTGAACAGACGAGCCGTCTTTGACTTTACTTGGGCCAACCAAACTGTCAGCCTTAGTGTCCATTTCCATCATGTCAATATCAGAAGCACTGGATTATGACAAACTGAACCTATCACTGCTAAAAAAAAAAAAACAAAAGAAATCAATTTTTTTATACAAAAAGAACAATAGAAGGGCTTGCAGGAACTTGAACCACTAGCTTAGGTTCAAGAATTTCAATTTTGAATTAGCATCCTTATCTGTTTTTTATTTGGGGAAAGGAGCAAAAAAATGATGAATTAATCATTGAATTAAATGTTCGAGTGTAACATTAATATCATTACAAATTAGGATTCATTGAAAATAGACAAAATTACATAAATCACATGAACACTACAGATTTTCAGCTGATAATTTTATACAAAAATAACTTCAAAAATGTCAGTCTGACACCTAACTCATCATTTTCCAGATTCTAGATAATGAATTCATTGTCCAGGAATGTGAAAGAACTATTTCTGCTAAGCAAAAAGCAGAATTGGGTTTTTACTTTAAGCCCTTATCTCAGCTCCCCAGACAGATTTGATCCATGTACTTACATGATAACAAGAATTCAATTGGATTTTAAAGAATATAAAAGAGTAAATTACTGGCAGTTGGGAGAAAATTTCAGATCGGGAAATCGATACCTGGAAAGACCCCAAATTACAGAATCAAATTCAGATCGGAAGTTGATACCTGGAAGGAGAGAGATGCGAAGGAGAAGACAGACGAGGAAGGCCAGTGGATTGGTAGAGAGAAAGAGGATTTTCCCTTTGTACACTTAATTTTATACACTTAATTTTTTAAAGCCAATCAAAGTCAAAATGTCGCCTTCAATAGAATTATGATTATTTTTATATTTTACGTGTATCAAATGTAAAATAACTAATAAATACAAAAATTGTCAAACTAATCAAATTAATCTTGTTTTTAGATATATAATCTACTAGAGATGATAACCATGTTTGAGTTTAAATTGAATTGAGTGTTCAAGTTCAAATTATTTGAAAATCACCCGAGTCTGAATCAGCTTTTCGACTTTTAAAATGGGTGATTTTTTTTTTTAATCAAGAATGGTGTAGATTGAAGGATTGTTGTAGTTTTAAGTAATGCAGCTTCTGCACTTTTACCCACAAAACTTCATCAGCTGAGACACTACTGTTCCCATAGCTGAATCACGTAGTTATAAATTTGTGATAGAATCATCATCATCAAATGGAATGACACTTTCGATGGTTTTTTTTTTTTTCTCTCTAAAAATTCTATGGCAAAATCTTTCATATTCCAGCTATATGCTGTCCACAGAACTTGGGATTAGGAGTTGGACTCGAGATAAGATGTCAAAACTTATAATAAAATCCTTCATATTTTATATTATTTTTTAAAAAAAAATCAAAATTTGATTTTGGTATACACTTGAAGTTCTAAGAAAAACATATTAAAACAATTTAAAAAACAAAAAATATATAATGTTTCACATTTTAACATAAATTTTGATACGATAATTTTCATATTTTATGTGTTATATATAAATACACGAGTTGTCAGATCTAACTATCATCTCCAAAATCCATAAATTAATCATAATTCATAAATCCTATTTGAGACCAAGGCCTATTGTACGCTAATAGCAGGAAAGCAATTCATTCTGTTCAAATAATTCTGTTCATCAGGTGGACAATCTGTGCTGTTGATCAACTATAATTTGGGGGGGGGGGGGGGCGGGAATAGTAGTGAATCTGTAAATTTGTAGTTATATCTAAAAGACAGTATTTGGGACGAGATTAACATTAAGAAAATTTTGAAAAAGTTCACATCAAGAAATCTTGTTACTTCCATATTTACCCTTACATGGCTCCTTTTCCAGCTAAATCTTCAAGAGTTAGATTCAGGGTGTCAGCTGAGCCTTTTGTCACTTCCTCGCCACGAGCAGCTAAGAAATCCTCTACGCTTCCTGGTTCTCCAAACCACCCAAGCTGGTCTGCAATCAGATGTAAATTGTTACACCCTCCACATCTTACCACCACCACACCTTTCTCGTATGACTCACGGCAAACCGTCTTAACCGATCTTGTTTCGCAGACTCTGCATGTAAATATCATGGCAAGATCATGCCTTGAGGATGTTTTCAAGTTGGAAATAGCAGTATGCTTCACGGCAGAATCGTTTGTCTGAGATAGAACATTAGCCAAGTGAGAAGCAGACTTTGAGCTGTCCACTTCATGGTTTTCTGTATCCTCATTAACCTGGCCCAAAGGATTTGGTTGAGTCTGGAGCCATCTTCGATAAAAGTCATGTCTATTGCTGAAGGATACACTTGAAGAAGATAGGGCTTGTGAAGGGGGTTCTGCCAGCAAAGAGTTAACATACAGAACTAGAAAGGCAAACTGAAGTACAAGGATATCATGATGAAAGCACATGTAACAATTAAAACAATGATTTTGTGAGATCAAATCATCAATCATTTTGCCAACTTCCAATCGGTTGAAAGCTTGATTAACTATGCCTTGGTTATAAATCTAAATTCACTATTACAAAATGGAAAGTCGTGAAGTTGCTAGTCAGCAAACAGTCTCTACTGAAGCGAAATCCAGCATCTCAGTGTTTTCTTTTATTATTAGCTCTGTCATATGTCCAAAAGCCCTATCCAACACCAAAACTTAAAATTCCAAAATTTCCAAACCTACAGACCTTTAATGCTTGCACACAAAGTATGTATGTATGTGTGTGTGTGTGTGTGTATATATATCTATATATGGAAAAGTTTCAAGTTTTGTTTTCAAAACATAATCTCGAATTTCAGTCCCAGTATTTTTTTTTTCAAGTAGGCATAATCACACAAGAAGAAGAAAAAGGACATTGAGGCATGAAAATGGGAAGGGAGGCGATTATAGCCAATGTGTCTAACTTTATTGGCATATCTAATCACAAAAGAAAACAAAGACCTAAAATCTCAGCAAGCGGAAGAGATTAAACACAGCAATTTGCATCCCAATCATCCCTTTGTTAGCCCCTACTAAATCATAAACTCACTTTCGATTTTCAGTTGCCATTCCTCAAAAGAATCTGCTAAATGCCTAGGTTAGACAAAACTAGGGAAAGCCAACCCTTTTATTCAACTAGAAAACATCCTCTGAAGAAAACATCAGTCCATTTCACTAAAATAGTTATTACAATCTTAAAACAACCAAGAAAATTCTAACATAGAAGACCAAAACCCTAAACTCTGAACAGCTAAAACTTGAGATCCTACCGCGTTTTCACAATGCAGCTATCACCTAAGTCCTTAACTCTTGATCCTTTCATGAAAGTCCCTGTAAAAACTTGTAAAAGACCAACTCGCTATTTCATGTTTGCATGTAAATTTCTATTTTCCATAAAGTCAACTTAGATTCATTAGAATCACGCCCATATTCAAAATTTCCCAGTATTAAACCACTCAAACCTTCAATTTCTCTATCACACTACAAGACATGATTCCCACAGATAATACAATAAAAAATATTAATACTAAATTATTCTCTACGTAGAATACGACAAATTTCCGCATGCATTACAATAATGGAATCTAATTCACTTTCCATAGAAAATATCAGATAGCAAAAACAATACTTCCAGCAGTTCTCATCATACTGTTTTAGAAACCAGTACCAAGAAAAATCCACAGCACAAGTACAAGATTTTCGACATATTTCACTTCCTTTCATTTCAAAACATGTTAAAAATGCAAGACACCAAAAACCCAACATTTATTTTCAGAAATAATAAAAAACCCAATATTTCTATTGATTGAAAAAGCTGACACAAAGCCAAAGAAACCCCATTTCGTAACGTTCCACATCGCAGATTCAACTCATATGAAGAAAACCCAAGTAATAGAAACAAAGATAGATAAAAACTAACGGAGAGAAAGAGAAAAAAAAAAGGTTTACCTTTGAAAAGCGAGGTTTGAGGAAGATTTCGAGCAAGATGAGAAAGAATCCGCCGAAACTGAGACATCCTTAGCCGACAGACACGAATTGAACCGGTTCGAGCCTGAGGAACCTAATTTTGAATTGGGCATTAACATTTTTTTTTGCCCTCTGCCACGTGGATTCAGAAGCTACACTAACTGTTGACGTGTATAAAATTTTAAATGTGCTGATCCAATTTCATATTTATAGATTATGTAATGGAGTCTTCTTCGATATTTATATTTATAAACTTAATACTATTTCAATAAAAAATTAGCTTATAATTATGTTGGTTGTTGAAAATTTATTTAAAAAATATGAAATTTTAAGATGATAAAATTACACGAAAATGCATGTATTCAATATTTTTAATTCGGACATAAAAAAAATCTTAAAAATGCTTTTGATTATATAAGATCATTGAAGTCGTCGATCTTATTGTCAAGAAAGCTAATAATATAATTGCATTGAAGATTACAAGTTTTCCAAAATCTAATATAAGATTATTTTTAATTGAAATTTGCAACATTTTCATCTAAATACTTGAAGAAAAATGAAATTATATGAATTTTTTACAATTCACGATTGTCTCCAAAGAAAATTACTAGCAGCTACCAAACATTATCATGTATAAGAACTTGATCTGCATCAGCCATTTTATGTTGAAATGGCCTGCTTCCCTGGCGTGGACTCTAATTGTTATTGACCTCTTCTGGTTAAAAAAAAAAAGCAAGGAATTGGTGTCCCTGTCATTCACCAATATATGAATTCTATGAACATATATGAACATACCCTTGGTTGCTTGATCATTTGAGATTTAAGATACAGAACTTGTTGCAAACACATTAGGCCTCAAGTTGTCGCTGGTAGTTCATCACCACTTGAAAATTTCAAGGTGCTTAAATCTTGAAAAAGGAAAAAAAAAAAAAAAGAGGATGGGTTTCTTGTTAGCTCCAGGAGAAAATAAATTTGGATGCAGAAGTAACTTAAATAAGCAACTAAAATTTGCAACAAGTTCTCATAGGCAACAGGTAGGAATTGATGAGTATACCACAAGTAATCTGGAGCATGAAGCGCAAGCAATTGAAGTTTACTAGCTGTAGATCTATTTTGCATCTTAAAAAGTGAACGTAATAATTCGTGTCATCATATAATGTAAAATATTATATTTATATTATATTTTACAAAAAAATTATAAATCACAATTGGTGTCAACATAAAAATATAAAATATAATTTTTTAATTTTATTAAACTTATTTATGTTTTTTTTAATTTTAAATCATGTTATTTTCATATTTTTTATTTACATATTTTATATTGCATTTCATGTTATGTTTCAAATTATCAAATCTACCAAAAAGAACAAGTGTGAAACATATTTTCAAGACTTAATTAACCTACCAATATATGGTTAGCTCCAGTGGCAAAAAAAATGTGATCCTCTCTTTGTTCTGTGAGTTCCAATTCACTAAAAGGTTGTGACGAGGTAATTTCTAATAAATAGGTTCAGCGTCTATTTTCCAGAAGAAGATGTTAAGAATTTGGTGAAATCTTGCCCACTTTGCCTCTAGAAACTACAGGCAAAGAAAAATTTTTAATCTGCAGGAAACAATGCCATGTAAACATCCTTTTTTCTGGTATGAATTGATTATCAAAATCCTACAACATTGAAGAAAAGTGAAAAGCTTAAAATTTTCACTGATCTCAAAGCAGAGAACATTTGAAATTGTTGTTTCACTCACAACAGTGTCATTGTGAAACGAAGAAATGGAACATAATTGATATTTTCTCCATTTTTGACAACAACTAATGCCTGTTATTGAAGCACTTGATGGCAATCTTTGCTTTTCTCACCTCAGGGAATGCATGCCCATTGCATCTTCTTCTCCATGTACAACCTATAAAGGCACAAATGAATATAGTATAAAAAAGTGAAACAAGCTAAATGTCCAAATTTGCATGAAGCAGGGAACAATATTTTACATGTTAACACAGGGATGTGTGTGTATAAAATGTTGTTAGTGATATAAGATAAGAAAATAATGACAGATAAATTTCTTGATCTGTTACATAAGTTCGAATTGAAAAGAAGAAAAAAGGCTACCTTGTTTTACCATATCTGGAAATACATGCAGCTTCTCTTTGTTCAACCTTTTAGTTTAGAACTATATGAGAAATGTGTTAAATAGAACACCTAGCAAGCAAGTCTTGAGGAGGATTGAAAGAAATTTGAGGCTCATGTTGCTAAAAATTCCTCAAGTTTGGCAAGACCATTGAGGATCAAAAACCTGGTAAGAATGCATGAGATAAGTGACAGCAAAGATCAATATATGCGAGACCCAAATACAAATTATTTGAATCAAAGTTCTATTAGATGCAAATAGACCAAGGCGTATGAAGTTGGGAAAAATGGGAAATGATGTAAAGATTAAGAAAAGAAAAGATGACCCCATAATTAACACAAACAATAACAAGTGCATGAAGATGAAGATGCCAGAGTCAATTAAGAAGCTGTCTAACCCTTCTTAGGAATGAATCTATAATAGTCACGAAATACAAATCTACTAGATTTGAAATCCAAATCCATCTTCTCCAATGGAAGTTTCCAAATGCAACCTACAAAATTTTGTGATAGTAGCTCAAAGAACGTACCTTTGCAGTTAGGATCTGCAGTCATTACCCAGGAAAACCATCCAAACAAGAGATCTTTCGAACGAACAGCTGCCCAAGTTGTCTGTAGTCTATAACGACAGGAAACATGGTAAAGAGGACCCGGCTTCAGGCATGAACCAGAGATTATTGAAGTTACCAAACTCAAACTACTGAACTGATTTGAAATTTGGCACATCATCTTTGTCGCTCTCGCTCTAACAAAACCAAATTTGAGATCAATTAGCTTCATTATTCTCAAGTTTTACTGAAAGGGCAAAATGTCAATTAGCTTATGACAGTAACGTTCTTCAGAATGTCACACGTGCTTTGTTGTCTTCAGAAAAAAACCATTCCTGCCATTTCATTTGTTGAAACCTCAATGTATTTGAGAGAGTGAATTATAAATTAGATTTGTTGAAAATTTTTCCAAGGATGATTGTAGTCATTATATTCAAGCGAATCCAAATTTGAAGCGAAACACGCAAAGCAGGATGCCAATTGCGAAGTCATCAAAGTATTGAAAGCTTTGATGCAGATAATTCTGGGATAGAAATATGAAGTCATCAATCTCCAAGCTAAAGCAAATCATGGGGCACCAACTTCATTTGAATGGGAATGATAATTAGAATACGCAACTGATACTCAATGACTTTAAATTTTATGCAAGAGAGAAGCACAACAGACGTTATACAAAGAGTGCATTATCAGTTCTGCCAGGTTATGTTTTTATAAATTGCTGCTTCGATTACAGGGATTCATTTTGCTGTCTGTAAATTGTAGCTCCACAATTGGAAAAAGAGAAACATATTTTATTTTGCAAGAACAAAAATAAATGACATTTAGATTACTCAGTCAGATCATTTACACAAGCTCCAACAGAAGGAGAAAATCAATTTGATTTGTTCTTTCTTATCAGCAGCACAGAAGCAAAGGGGTTCCTGTTGATGATCACTTTTCCTAGCTGCATGTTCCCTTTATGAGGAACACCAAATCAGTACTGTAGGTGAGATGCCTGATGCTCCCACTCTATGTAGACTAGATTTGGTCGACTGGATTACACCTTTCAAGACAGGGCCCTTGAAGATGAAGATTTTGAACTGCTACTGCCCAAAATGTACTAGTTTATTGAAGGCAGCGATTTGAAGAGTTCAGAACTTGATGGCCAGCTGGGTAGAGAAGATAAAAGGAACAACATACTGGACAGCCCCAGATTAAGCGATAGAATTTGTAGCTTGTCTGGAAGGAACTGATGCTTGACTTTGTGTTTTTTTGGATGGAGGTATGGGATATCCCCTGATTTGATGATGGAATCCGGCTCCTCTAAGAACAAACCAGTACTCGTGCTTCGCAGGTGAATCACTTTGTTTCGAAAAGATGTCACTCCATACCGAGTCATAATGCTTAAATAGTTCACAAAACAAACATAAATCAGTTTCATAATTCAGCTCCTCTAGGAAGTGTATTAAAATGGTTAGTCATTGGAATAAATTGTTCAAAAAACACACATAAATTCAAACAATTGCCAAAGCAAGCATGAAAGAAAACCACATGAATTGTTGTTTCACATTGTTTGTCATACAATCTCAGGTTCTTCAAAAGCTCAATCCAGGCAAAGAGTAATTTATAGCTCAACCAAACTGAAAGAAAAAGAATGGAAAAAGCAAAGCAAGGCTTACCTTCAAGAGCGGCATCATATGCACAAGCATCATGTTTAGCAAGGAATTAAGCTAGCATCACTCCTCACAACGGACAAATATGAGTCTGTCAAGCAAAATATTTCTCAACCATTGAGATCCTCACTCATACATAATGGTATGTTGTTGTGGAAAAACAATTTGAACATGGTGATTACCAGAAAAACGAAAGGTAGTACATGAGATCATTGAAACCTCAGCCCTCCTGGCCTATACTTCTGAATCCTGCTGTGGTGTTGCAGAAACAAACCTATTGCTACTGTGAAATGTCTCACATATTAAATAGTGACACAAACTGAAACAGAACCTCGAGGTGTCAAAGGTCATATTGTTTATATTGAGGAGTGATAAGTACAATAGTTCAAAATGAAAACGAAAAATGTTGATATATATTAAAATTATAAGCAGTCAACTCACTTTATCATATATGTGTATCAGCAAGCTAGGTTTGGGAAACTGATTCCATCCAAAGGATTGTCTAGCTAAATCTCAATCTGATGAATAGTATACAATCCCAGGTTCTTTACAAATTCAAAGCCAATGCAAAAAAGTAATTGATGCCTGCAATTAATCATGAAGCAAGTTAAACTGATAACTAAAACATGGAATTAACACTATCTATGCATTGTGATTTTAATTGTCAAAAACACCAGTTTTTATGCCATCAGTTATTGTTTGTTTATAGCCAATATCAATATGCTATAAGCAAAATTTTTAAAATGTTCTCATTCAATGAAAGGAAAGTATGCATAATAAGTGAATTAACTACATTTTTATGGTATATTTCTGTTAACTAAGGGCACCTGTTAAAAATATCCCAGTCATTGCCATTATTTCTAAGGTACATAAGAGAATACCTTCTGAATTACTTTTTCCAATATTAAGGGAAGATCTCCATTGTTGAACTATAGGCAATGCTGCTTCTCAGTTCCTTCCCCACTATATCATGCCACAACAATTAAACAAAGGAAAATACAGTTAGTGTTAATATCCAACTCTAAGCTTCATCACTCTGGTGCATTCTTACTGTCAAAAAAATTTTAGTATTGCAGGAAAGAGAGGTGTAGTAGTGGTTTTAATCAATTTAAGTATAACAACATTTCTATTGCTAAAGGAAAAGACTGAAAGATCAAATATAAGCTAACAAAGGCTGTGATTTCCCACTGTAAATCCACACTTTTAAACGGCACAAATCAAATGGAGCTCGAGTAGCATGTATAAAAACGATGAAACAAAGTTTGGATGTGTAAAAATAATGTATTCTCGAAAATTAAAGTACCTCTTGGAAGTTTCATCCTCGGACTCCAATTTAATAAATCCTAGCTCTTGGAATTAGGGAGATCTTGGTCCGTTCAGCACGGTTTTTCTTTAATTGTGGACAATAAGAGATAGAAAGCAGCTGCAAATTGGGGAGGCGTTGCATGGCTTCCTTAGATGGTAGATGCATTAGATTCTCACAACTCCAAACATCTAATCGTTGAAGAGAGGAGAGGTTTTGCAACCAATCTGGCAAAGCTTTCACTCCATTGAAGTCCCAAATCTCTAATCTCTCAAGTGCAGTGAAGTGTTGGAGTTGGTTTGGCAGAGAGCTTAGTTTTCTCCATCCATTCAACTTCAAGTGTTCAAGGGAAGAGCGGAGGTTGTGGATGGAACTGAGAAGTGGAAATTCCTCAAACTCTTCTGAGAAGGGACCTAGTTCCAATGTCTTCAAACGGGTGAGGCAGTCAATGCTCTCTCCTGGAATTGACTCCAGATTTGTGCAGTTGAATATGTACAAACGCTGAAGAGAAGTACAGGCAAGCAATCCACTTGGTAGACATGTAAATCCACCCAGCCTTAAAAGTAAAAGAGAGGAGAAGCCATCTAAACTAGGAATGGAAATCAGATTAGGACATTCTACTATCTCTAATGTTTCCAGCCTGGTGCATGCAGATAGTCCACCCCCTATCTCTTGTAATTCTTCACACATTCTTACTTCAAACTTCAGAAGAGATTGAGATCCTCGATTTAGAGGAATGGATATCAGATTAGGACAATTCCTAACGCATACCTGTTTTAGACATGTGGAGGCAAGTAGTCCCTCTTCTATTTTACATAATTTGTCACAACCGCACAGGACAAGCTCTTGAAGCAAAGAGATACCACCCTCTACACTTGGAATGGATTTTAAGCTCGGACACCAATCTATTCTTAATTTTTTGAGACTAGAGGGAAATAATCCATTCTCTGTCCAACTCAACTGCTTGCAGCTTTCAATAAAGAGTATCTCCAGTGAAGAAAATCTACTCATTCTTGGAATGCTGCTTAGCTTGTAACAAACTACAATCTGCAACTCTTTTAGTGAAGGAAACATGGGGATTGCCGGCTCCACTTCTAACCATTCTTTTACTTCTTTCATATGCATTAAGGTAAACTTTTCCAATGCTGGAAATAATGGGATTGGCATCTTCTCATCACCATAAAATTCATTTCCTATGCAACTCACGTTATCCAAACCTTTTATTTCAAGAAATTTGAGATTGGGATATTGCCCCAGACTTGGAAGATTCTTTAAATTCTGACAATTTAATAGATTCAACTCCACCAAATTGATGGGTTGAAAACAAGCACTTGGACCACCAAAACTCTTCCTTGCCAACCAGGACGGATAGTGCTCTCCCTTAAAATTCTCAATCTTTAAGCTTTTCAAATTTGAGTGAGGCTTCAATCCTTCCAATACTTCCTCATCGTTATTGTAGCCTTCCCTTCTAAAGTACTTCCATGCATATTCCAACTTGAGTAAGTTTTTCTTCTCCCACAGTTTAGCTTCCCTAGCCTCTTCTTTGTTTCTAACATTCTGGAGATCAAAAAGGGCCAATTCTCCTTTAAGTTCAGTGAAACATCCCAATTTCCCAATTCCACATTCCCCTTTTGTAGCCACATCAAATATTGGCAAAGTTTGAAGACCAGTTAGACATCCGATCTCATCAGGAAAATGCCGTCTAGAATTGATATAGAAATGCTTCAAGCTAACTAAATTTTTCATTCCTTTAGGAAATTTTTTAAGAGAATCACAACTGAGCAATCTTAATGTCTGCAAATGGTAGAGTTGGGTAATGGACTTTGGTAGTCTACTTATCTTAGTTCTTGAGATATCAAAGTATCTCAAATGCTTTAACCTACCAATTGAATCTGGCAAGGAGGTAATTTTAGCATCACAAAAATTAAGAACCCGTAAGCCTTTGAAGTTCCATACAACGTGGAAAGCAGTAGTTTTGAAGAACAAGGAATGCCAGAGTTTCACACCAATATCAAGGACATTTTCATATGGACCATGAGAACTATGATGAGTGGAATTGGTTTCTGAACTTAATATTTCTGCATTTGAAATTGATTGTGCTAGATCATGAACTAAATCATGCATCTTGCATGTCGTAATGCACCCATATATATCCATCTCCACATCTTGCAACAAGGAATTTGATAATAAGTAATTGAAGTACTTATCACCAATGTCCTCAAATGCCAGCTGGGAACCTCTTTTAAATTGTTGAAGAAAGCCTTCAGCCATCCAAAGCTGGATCAATTGCTCCTTTTGGATGCGGAAATCTTTAGGAAAAATAGAACAATATGCAAAACATTGCTTTAAAGATGGAAAAGGCAAGCGATCAAAACTTAATTTCAAAACACGTACAATCGCTTCATTGCTTTCTAGACAACCCCAAAGAGGACTATCTCTGACTTTCTCCCACTCATCTATAGTCCATCTATTGGACACTGTTCCTCCTATAACATTCGCCACCAATGGCACACCTGCACATTTTTTACCAATAACCCTTCCAATATCTTCCAATTCTGGAGATACTGAAGAGTTTTTGAATGCTCTTTTTTTTATTATAGCCCAACACTCATCATCTATCAGTGGCTTAAGAGGATACCTATATCCTTGAGGTGTTTCTCTTACTGCTGCAACATTTTCATTACGAGTTGTGACAAGAATGCTACTTTGTTTATTTCCATTTATTCCCAGCAACCTACCCCTTAAATCCTCCCAGTTCTTAAGATCTTCATCCCACACATCATCAAGCACGAGAAGGTAGGTTTTCCCTTCCAACTCTTTTTGTATTTCCCGAAGCAAAGCATCCTTATTTTTCAAGGCACAAGTTTTCCCAGTTAGAGATTCTAACATCTCCACTAAAATCCTTAGGACATCAAAATTTTCAGCAACACATACCCACATTATTTTATTAAAATAATTCTTTACTTTCTCAATTTTGCATATGGACTGTGCTAAAGTAGTTTTCCCCAAGCCAGCCATGCCTACCATGGATACTAATGAGAAAGTTTGTTGAGTGGTTGAGTCAATCAAAAGATCAACTATTCTTGAGATGTCAGCTTCCCTTCCAACAACAACTAGTGATGAGTCACCGAATGAGTCAGTTCTTTCTACTCCACTAAACACTGGAGCAGCATTTTGAACTCTTTGTTGGAGTCCAAATTTGGAGGCCCGATCAATGATTTTATCCATGGATAGGCTAATATTCTTAACCTTTTTAGCCATCTTTAGAGTAAATATCATGGGATTTTTTATGGGGGAAAAGAAGTTGCTGACCTTTGTTTTCCTTCGAAGATCTTCATAGGCAAGTTCATCCAACGCATCATCGGCCTGGTAAGCAATATCTCCAAGCTGCTCCAACCAAACTTTGACAGGCTCATCAACTTGCCTCCTCTCAGCATCTTGCAAGAAAGATCGAGCCAGAGTTAGTGAGGCACGTAGCTTGTTCAGCTCGTCCTGAAAATCCCATGCGAGGTTAATCGGCTCTTCAATTATCGAGATAGCCTTGCATAGTGCCACTTCTATGACAGCTTCAGCCATTAGCAGTTCAATGATCAAAGAAAGGAACTGAAGAAACTTGCTTTGAGAATTGAGAGACGTCTAACAAGAAGAAGAAACAAAATAGAGGTATTTTAAGTTGTCATATATAAGAAAAGCCAACGGCGATTATTATTGCTGACTACTACTTTTATTTTGGTGGCCGCCATGTTTGAAGTGTTTCAATGTAGTATTTTAAAATCTTAGCTTTCCTCAATTATGGAAGAAAATATTTATTTAAATTATAACAAGGCCATGTTTAAAGTGTTTCGATCTTTGACGCGTTGCAGAGCTTACGGATCAGGGATGAGATAAAAAAATTTTAAAAATGGAAAATCAATTCGGTTTGATTCAGATTATTTTTTTATTTGATTTAAATAAATTTAAATATTAAATATGTGTATATATATATATATATATATATTTATATTTATATATATTAGATTCAAATTGAAGATAAAAAATTAAAAAAATTGAACCTAATTATATAATTTTTTAATTTATATATATTTTTTAAATTTTTATAAAATAAAAAAATAATTTTATAGCAAAATATATTTAAATATATTAAAATTTTATATTAAAATAATATATAAAAATTTAAAATTTAAAAATTAATAAATCAAACTAAACTTATTAAATTTAATTCAATTCAGATTCAAATCGAATTTTAAAATTTCTAATAGAATAAAAATTCATTTCAGATTTAGACCAAATTTTAAAATTTTTTAATATTTTAAAATATTTAAAAAAATTAAATTAAATTTTATTCAAATCATTATCACTTCTACTAATGATAACTGATAATATCATATTAATAATATTAAATTAATAACTAATATCTTAGTTGTACTTTGTCACGAAATTTATTTAATTTTTTTTGGGTTAATTTTTAATGTAACTCTAATCTACAAACTACAATATATTTTAAAAAAAAGGGTAAAAACTTTTATGTATGAGATTTTAGTTTTAATACAAGTTCAAAAGCAAAGAGTGAAAACAATTTATAATAAGAAACACATATAAAAAATTAAAATTATAATGGTTAAATTCTAAAGATGGATTGAATAATATATTTTAATATCAAATTTTATTCAGGGTAATTGTTAAATTTTAAAAATATAGTCTAATTTTTATATATTGAAAATTAAACTATTTTACATACTTTTATTTTATTCTTATTCTTTAATATATATTTTTATATTAATAACAAAAGTCAAAATAAATAAATAAATAAAACTTGAGCAGCCGACATCAACCTGCCCCAATAACTTTGACAAATTTTGTGGCAAGATTTCAATGGCTTTGAAAAACTATTATTCAATCCCAGATTTTCTGGATTTCAATTCATATTCAAGATCAAGCAGAGGGGGTCATTTTGAAAAAAAAAAAAAAACACGAAAAACTCTGTAAAATCCCCAATCTTACCGAAACCATCCTGCCACCATCGCCAAATCCCAGTCCTTTTCACCACCAATTCGGCAGCCAAAATCAGCCACCATCGGCAATTTCAGACTAAACGACTTAAATATTTGGTCGGATAATTTGGATATAAGCAATTTAGGACAACCCTTAGCCAAAAGTTTACAAGGCAATTAACAATATTTATTGATAAAATTATCAATGATTTATTATAAAAGTGGTTCCTATTTTGTAATTGGTGTTCACATCAGCGATATATTAAAAAATAATTAGATAATAAATTTTAGAATAAAAATTAGTTTTAAGCATGGAAATGTGTTTCTTCTCTGCTTCTCTCTTTTTTTTTTTTTCTTTTTCTTTTATGTTTTTTAATGTGTTTGTTTAAGTTAGATTTTGCTTTTCTTTTTCTCTTTGATGTTTCCTTTTTTTTCGCTCTTTTTTTTTTTTTTGGTGATTTGTTTTTTGTTGACAATTGTTATTTTTATTTTATATTATTGTTTTTGCGAAGACATGTTGATCAATTAATTATTTTTGTTTTCATGCATTATTTTATTTTCATATTGTATCAAGGTTATGGATTTTTTTGATTTCGTGTTTGATATTTTTTTATATGTATGGGATTTTTTTGTTAAATTATATTTTTTTATTAGGGTTATGAATTTTTATAAGGCATCGGTTTTATTTTTTATTTTTTTATCTAATATTATTTTGTGAGTCTTAAATTGATGTTATTGTGATCGTTGATTTTTGGTTTTGTTGGTGGTGGTGGTCGTAATTTTGTCACTGCTGTTGTCAACCTTAGTTTTACTGTTAGTGACTACATCTTTCTTTTATAGTTTATATATTTTTTAATTTTTTAAATATTATAATGAAAAATGAAATATAGATTATTTATATTTTAATTTAATATTAAAATTTAAGAATTTATTGTTTAATCTAGCTCTTTATGCACTAAATAAGTCGATTTCAATAAATAATAAAGATATTAATGATTATTTAATTCTAATTTAAATGTCCTTTATATATTTAAGCCATCCAAAAAAAAAACAAAAAAAAAAAAAAAACTCAAGCAAATAACCAAAAGCCGCGACCAATTATATACGATTTACCTTGGAGCCGTTGACACTGAGATATCAGTGGGCAACCCAATCTTGTCAGCCCAATTACAACTTTGAAACCAGCACGCAGACTTGTTCATGTAGGCCTTTTACCTAGATCCTCTTCCACATGTTCCAAAATATAGTTTATTAAATTTTATAATTTAAAATACAATATAAAAATAATATAATTTAAAATTTTAATAATAATTAAATATAAATTTATTAAAACAAAAAAATATTTTTTATTTTTATATTAATATAATAATAATATATAATTTTTATGTAAAATATGATATAAATATAAAAATTTATTTTATATTATATGAATATGTGGGTAGTATGTTGGATAATAAATATTCTTAATTATGAGCTAAGCAATGATGGCGAGATTATTTATTAAAAAAAAAACATGTTGAGTTCATTAACAATTTAATATAGAATGAATTTGACAAACTCTTGTTGAACAAGATAGCACATATCGAGAATTGGTATTAGTGCATGGATCCAACGTATGCATTAAATTAAAATATTTGAATTAGAAACGTTTGCCCTAAGTTTGGTTGGATGATGCGATGCAATCAATAAGACGCTCACCGATATATTATTTCACAGTTGACTTGTCATTTTTATCGGAAAATTTAAGAAAAAAAATGAAGATGAGGAGTTCTAGAAGATAATTTTTTTATGTAAAATTATAAATATAAAAAAATTATAACTATAATAAAATATTATATGTTAAAAATTATTGAATAAGTAATTAATTAATTATAATTAAATAAATTTAATATAAAATTAAACTAAATTTGCACAAAATAAAATTGAAACTTAAAATCTTAAAATTTTATGATGTCTACTTAAAGGTATAATAAATTGAATTCAAACTGATATAGTATTAAATTCAAGTTTGATTTCAAATTCGAGACTTAAAACTCGATTGAAGTTCAATCAAGTTTTATTTTTTTGCTTCAACTCAACTCAAAATAGAAATCAAGTTCCTCAACTCGATTAACATATAAAAATAAATTTAATTTTTATATTTCAATAAAAATTTGATTATTTGTACTCAAATTGAGATATTTTATTAATTAAATAATTAAAATATAAAAATTCGATTAAAGTTGTGAGCTACTCGAATCAAGTATAAAAATTTTCGAATTTGACTTAATCGAGAAGTTGAGTTATTCGAATTTGAGCTTTACCTAATAATAAATGAGCCGAATTTAAATTTTATTTAAATCAAACTCGAATAATTTATAAATATTAATATATCATTTATATCTTATAACTACCACAATTAACTTTGGATGAAAATGCATGGGTTGACTTTCTTTTTTTTTTAAATTTTAGATATTTGAGCTATTCGCATAATAGATTTTAGGCATTTAGTTTTTTTATAAGAAACTTTGATTTGTTGGCTGGGGCCGATATAAATTTAGGTCATATGTATTTATAAAAATATGCTTTAGTTTTTATATATAGATTTCATGTATTATTTTTTCTTTTTATTTTTATTTTATTTTTTGCCTTATTCTTAAATTTTTTTATAAAAATATTTTTTTCTATGTAAAACAAAATTTTATCTAATATACATTTTTGCTCCATAAATTTATATGTTTCAAATAAGGTGAAAAAATTGAATGGATTAAGGAAAGAAAAAAAGAGAAAGAAAATTTTAGAATAGTATCATTTTTGCAAATATTTTTAATAATAATGATTTTCAAACTTATTAAATATTGTAGACACCCTTTTGTGTCTGGAATTAATTGAATCGTGTCTGGGATCAATCGGATTGAGTTTTATTATTTTTGTTATATTATATTATATTATATTATTATTATATCATATCATATTATTATTTTTTTCCTTCATTCCTTAATTGTCGATGGATTAAGGTAATTGAAAATCAAATTTCCTGAATAAAAAGGATTTAATCAATACAGTCAAATGTGTAATTCATAATCAAAAGATTTTCGAATGCATCAAGACAAATCAGCAAAAAAAACATTGCCAGGAATCATGCTTGAGTAAAACTAATCCAAACTTAAATCCTGATATTAGATTATGTCTGATCCTTAAAACTACTACTACGAACTACCTATAAATTAGACGCGATTGATAGAAGAACACACGAGGAATTTTAGGTGAGAATGAGAGATTGGTGAAAGAATCTAATTGTTTCAACTCTAGACAATAGGTAGTTTCTGGATTTTTTATTTTTGGGAATTTTGAGTTTGTTTGAAATTTATGAGTTTAGATTAGGGTCATTGGGTTTAGATTTAGGTTTTCGGGAGGTGTCTAAAAGGGTTTGGGCAAAATCTAAAGAATTTGAGAATTTTTTGGAATTTTTCTTTAAAATTTTGGGTTTTGGATGAACTATGATTTTTTCGATGAATTTTTTAACGAAATGTTGAAATTTTTAACCTTATTCTAGCCAGTTTTTCAAAAATCGGTGAGTTTTTCAATTTTCAATTAAAATTTTCAGTGACTTTTTAAGAAACTGGTGGGTTTTTAAATTTTTGATTGAAGTTTCTAATGGATATTTTTGAGTTTTTAGAGAGAGGTCAGAGCATTCAGAATATAGAGAGAGAAAAGAAACTGGGCTACTAAGGATAAAATGCAAAGACTGACTTTTATACCCATCCCAAAACGGCTCCGTTTTGGTGAACCCTAACTTGCGCGTAACTCGATTGGGGTCAATGTGCTGATATGCACTCTGACTCGACTTGATTGTAAGTTTTCTTTTTTTATTTTATTTTATTTTTTATTTCAAGCTTATTTATTTTTTAGCTTTTTATTGACTTTATTTTTATTATTTTGTAAAGATCTTTCCTGTTTTTTAAATTTTGAAAATGAATAACAATAAAAATTAAAATTAAAAAATTAAAAAATCTTTTCCAATAAGTTTTAAAACAAATAAAAATAAATAAATAAAACATTTTCAAATAAATTTATAAAATCTACCAAACTATTAAAAAATTTCATAAATCAATTTTCTAAAATTAAAGAAAATAAAAAAATAATAATTTTGTCCTTCAAATTATTGGAGAATTATCTTTCAAATTAAATCCTACCAAACTATTGGTAAACTTAACGAAATTCTCAAAATTTTTAAATATTTTATAATAAAATTTTATCAAATTATTGGAAGATCTATTTCAAAGTAAATCCTACCAAATTATTGAAAGATTTTACTAATTTTTTTAAATAATATAATAAATTTGATGACAGAACTTCTGCAGAGTGGAAAACTAGTCTCTATGATACGTCTGAAGTGATATAATTATTTTAAATTACTATAAAATTATTGAGATAATTTTAAGACTAATTTTTAATATTAAATAATTTGATAAATTACAAATATGATTAAAGTTTGGATAATTTAAAATTAAACTGGTATCATAATTTGGATGGACGTTGTGAAGGTATTATAATCTTTTCTATGCGTAATCGTACATTCAAACCTAAACTTAGTTTCATAAATCAAAATCTACTACTTAAAGATACCTAAATTAATATTGAGACTATTCTTTAAATATGATAAATTTAATTAGGTAATCAATTACATTTAAATAAAAAAAATTAATGACGACTTTTTGAATTTATATTTAACGATAAATTTATGAATCTATATATTATAATAAATATAAAAATTTATTAATATGATATCTTCCAAAACATAGTAAGGAGAATTTCTTTTATACGTAAAAGTTTAAAAAAAGAAAAAGCTTATCCCATTCAAGGTTTTGGCATATCGTAAATTTAAAAAAATAATTGTCTAAAAGAGTCTTTACATTAGATTTAAAAAGCACCCATCAAAAGAGAATATTGATAATAAAATTTAAATCTAAAATTTACAAATATAATATTTAAATCTTGTCAATTCAACCAATTATACGAGTTTAGCAAGCAGAATTTACTAATATAGTTTAAATCTTTCATCTACAATCCACCCACTAGCCTAAAATTCTTGTGTTAGTCTAAAGTCAAAAGAAATTATTTATTTCAAGTCTTTTCTTTGACAAGACCTTCTAGACCAATGGCAATGACGTAGACGATTTGAATTTTAGGAGCAAAATAGTCTTTCCACTAATTTGTAATATTTCTGACATTTAGGGGCATTTTTATCTTTTGATTGGTCTAGGCATTTTTGGCTTTTGGTCAATTTGACGTGGAAACCTCTTACGGCTGCTGACGTGATAAGCACCTCATCCCACGTAAAACCCATCCGATTATTTTGACGTGCCATTCAAGAACTAGTCTTGACCACGTCAGCCAAACTTATTTCAGATTAGATTTCACCGGTTACGTTAGTTCAGGTATAAATTTGCTTCTTCTCACAAATAATCTTAGATCACTCATTCTTGTCATTTTGCCCTCTACTAACTCCTTCCTTGTTTGCTTCACTAATTCAAGCCTTGAAATATAAATGTCGGACTCACCACCGACCTTTACTCTGATTATTGTTTTTGTTTTAAAGATTTGAACTATTCTGGATTTTGATACAAACAGGCAAGACCTACATGTTCGTAGCATTTTTTAAAATATAATTGGAAGATTTTCTTAAATTTTTTTTTTTTTATGATGCGTTGAACGCAGCCTAAGATAATCCAATACTTTATTTAGTAAGAAAATGATTCCTTTAATTTCAACATAGCATAGAGAGCAGGCAAAATTAAATTTGAGATTTAACTCAATTAATTTATATAAATATATTTAAGAAACGATATTAAATAAATATGATATTTAAATTTTAATATATATAATCTCTTATTTTATTCTCAATTTCTTTTAAAAAAATTCAAATCACAAAATTAAGTCCAGAGTTTTTTTAAGGTTTTGTTTCCTGTACCATATTTTCCTAAAATTATACCAATCGAAACAAAGCATAATATATATATATATATATATATATATATATATATTGGCTTCAAGCAAGAGAGAAAATTATGATTGGAACTTAAGTCGTTCCATCTTATCACTTGAACTAAGCCTCTGAACTCACGTGACTCTGAAATTTGAGCATCCACTCATCTGACGTCTCAGATCAATTTATTTATCATGGTTCATACTCTTGTGAAGTATTGTCCGTTCTGACCCTCCTAACCTCACGATTTTATCTTACAAAAGGTGCTCTGACCCTCCTAGTCTCACGATTTTGTCTTACAAAATATGCATCACAAGATTGAAGTGATGTGAATCCTTATACACCCCAGTGACACTCCTAAGGTTGAAGTGGTGTGAATCCTTATATAACCCAGTGACCCTCCTATTATATTCGATGTGAGATTCATGACTCTTCTTTAGGTCCATGACTCTTCTTTAGGTCCATGACATTCTCCCCCATCCAACATCGTGAAGCCCTCGTCACGGAAGCTGGTCACGCTGCCTACTTCCCTCGAGATGTTTGGCGTGGATCGAACGGTTTAGGGTTGACTTTGATACCACTTGTCACGGATTGATACTTAAGTTTCGAATCCGCGCGGCTCTGAGACTCGGGCATCCACTCATCTGACGTCTCAGATCAACCTACCTAATATGGTTCACACCCTTATGAGGTATTGTCCGTTCTGTCTCCCCTGACCTCACGATTTTGTCTTACAAAAGGCGTCTCACAAGGTTGAGGTGGTGTGTCTGTGACATTAGGGCCAAGCCTGGTTTTATTTGCTAACGGATGTATGTTCCATAAAGACAAAACAAACAAGGATTCTGAAGTTTTGAAGTGAGTTTGATCGTTAAGTTGCCGGTTTCAATAGCATTTGAAGTTAAATTTACCGGTATTGATTGATAAATAACATATTAAGGGTAGGGATGTCAATAGATAGATATAAGTAAGATAGAGCATTCCTCATTGCTGTCTTCAGATTTTTATGTAATACCATTTCCTTATCCATACCTAATGTATATTTTAAATTTATGTCTATCTTCATTTATGTAGATATTTAATATGTATGAAGATTACCCAATAACCACTTTTAAAAAAATTAAAAAAAATTTTTTTTTAGTTTTTTTTACTTTTATCTTGTATATTTAAATAATTTTTATAAATATATATTCATATATTTTTCAATAAAAATATATTAATTTTAATTAATCTAAAATAATACTTTATATTATTTAATAAAAATTTATTTACTAAATATATATAAATATATGTGTAGAGTATGCGCATGGAGCAAATGCTATATTATCCGTCCTTATCTCATACTAAATAAAAATTTAAAATCATATTTATCATCATCTTTATATTTATAATGTAATATCGATTATCTTTTTATTCAAATAAAATATCGAATTTTTCATTGAGTATAGGTAAAATTAAAATCTTTAATTAAAAAAATTTTCTATCTTAATTTCTCTATATATACGAGACGGATCTATTAGATTTCATAACTTCAAATTGAGAGGTAAAAGAGCCGTTTTCTCTCTCTTTTATTGTGCAAGTCATCATTCGGAATTTAAGAGGTGGCAAGCATAGAATGATGACATCAATTCTATGGATTTTGGTTAACAAAATTGGGTTTTTGTTTGCATTTATGTCAATTTTAGTTTTAATTCAAAATTGTATTAATGACTCAGTGAGGTTTCAGTCAATTGTAATTGTTTAAATACAATTGAAACTGTCATAATTATTCGATTTTGATCATACATGCACGTTAAATGTTGTTGCCACATGTAGAATGTAGTGTCGGACACAACAAGCATCAATGGAGTATGAAAGGCGGAAAAAAATTCCAAAGCAGCCTTGCCATCCATTAGGAGAAAATTGCTTTAAAGAAAAATGGCAGAAAACTTGGATTTCAATTCAACATTGTAGAGAAGCAAAGGAATTATGCAGAGAAGATAGATGGTAAATGTCCAATGAAGTCTTTGGAATCTTAGCTTCTATTGGTCTTAGCCAATAATTTAAAGCAAAAAAAAAAAGAAATTAACCGTCTGACCCATCAAACCTCGACTAATTATGTAAGGGAGATTGGAAGGGAGAAAACAATAGCTTTACTGATTCTAATATTGGTGTTCATTTATTTCGTATTTAATATATATAAAACATTAACATTATTATATCATAATTTTTATTAATACATTAAATATAAAATATTATTTTATTTATTTTTATTTTTATTAAAATTTTAAATCGTACTTTTTTTTCCCATGTTTAAGATTACAGGATTAAAAAACAACTTTAATTACTACAAAAAGCCATCTACCTTCCAATTCCATTTCATTCCTTTCTCATGTTCTGACTGAGCAGTTAAGAAAAGGTTGAGACAGCTGTTTAGAATGTAAAAATGCTTCTTCAAACTAATAAAGATGTTCTTGCTTAAACTTCTCTAAAGATGAATTTCAGATTTAGTGTAAGATTGGGTGTCTGAAAGTACTTATCAGAAAACGTGACAAATGGTGTGAACCAGACAACAGAATTTTCACCAAAAGGCATGTCTGAAAGCGCTTATCAGAAAGCCTCTTATACCAGGCAACTGAAATTTTAAACATTGATGAGTAGATTAATGACAACATTGACATTGCCATGTTCCATTCATTCCTATGATCTGCTCTCCAACATCTCCACTCATCCATTAAGTTCATGACAGAATGAGTTTTAAGAATCAAATATCATTGCAGAAAATGAGATTCAAAATCAATAACAAAACATGAATTCTGAACAACTGTGTATCTCGCATATTTGTATCATATTCATATCAAAATATGAGTAAAATACAAAAAATTATTTTGTCAAATTCGTGTCTGGTCAAATACAAAGCATGGTTTTTTATTTTTGTCAAACTTATATACAATTTTGGACTAACTACTTGCTTAGTAGTATATTACAATGTATAAGTAACAGAGAGCACTACAAAGCAGAAAATCTTGTTTGTATAACAAAATCAATAATGAATTTAATTTAAAACAATCATGTAACAAAATCTCTGCCAGAAAATGAACTGAAATCTAAAACAACTCTTTTCTATATATTATTCACAACATGTACAAATATCTATAGGTACCTCAAGTTAGCTTAAAAGAATCATGAATTGTAAAGGTAAAAATGCAAAACAAAATCCCTACAAACTCTCATTGGTGATCAAATAGACAACTCCAAAATATTAGCTCATATAAATAACCAAAAGCCGCAACCAATTATGTATGATTTACCTTGGCGCCATTGAGAATGAGATATCAGTAGGCAAACCAATCTTGTCAGCCCAATTCTTTGACTCCAAATACAACTTTGAAACCTGCCCTACAATCTTGTTCATATCGGGCCTTTTCCCTGGATCCTCCTCCACACATTCCAATGCCACCAAGACCATCTTCTCAGCCACTTCCACTGGAAAAGAGTCCTTCAACCTCCTATCTACCCAGCTCCTCACCCCTGCACTGCCTCCAGCCACAGCCTCCCTAGCAGCATCTATTACACTCACTCTTTTGTACCCTCCGGTTTCTTCATCAACGAAAAACTTCAAGGCTTCCTGTCCACTCAACAGCTCTAAAACCACAACCCCAAATGCATAAACATCACATTTCTGTGTCACCAAACCACTAAATTGAAGCTCAGGTGCCATGTACCCCCTTGTTCCTTCAATCTTCATACCTTTACTATTTGATCTCCGAAGAGTTTTTGATCCCTCCTCCTTTGTCACTTCCCCACATAGCTCAGCAGTGCCAAAATGACAAATTTTAGCCGTTAAAGAATCTTCAGCTACTAAAATACTTGTGATCTTTATATGGTTATGAGTGAAGCTAGTTTCAAGACCTGAACAATGGTGAATATAATCCAAGCCATGAGCAACATCAGTAGCAATTTGCATACGAGAAATCCAAGAAGAAAGTATAGTAAAACTTGGGTTCTTGGGGTTTCTTAAACAATCCCTAAGGTTTGCTCCTTGTACATATTCATAAACAAGATAAACATAATCCCCTGACACGGAAACACCCAAAAGCTTAATTAAACTACTATGGTGGCTCCTACAAATGACTGATAACTTGTGAACCAAGTCAGGTAACTCAATTGCACGTCTCAGTTTTCTTTGAAATATGAGAACTTGTTTACCTTGAAGGTTACAAAGCCATGAAGATGATGAAGAGGAAGAAGAAAACCGCTTGGAAAGGAAGTTGTTTGTGGCTGAGCAGATGTCTGAGAAGTTATAGATGTGGGGGTTTTCAGGGAGAGAAGCTTTGAAAGATGAGAGAGTTTTGGAGGTTTGGCTTGAAATTGAGTTGCCGGAAGAGTTGTTGTAAAAGTAGCTTGAGGAAAGGACCAAATTGTTGGTTGCAGAAGTGCTGGAAGATGGATCTGACACAGAAGATGAAGATTTTGAGGATTTTGGGGTTTTGGGTGTTCGAGATGAAGATGAAAAAGATGGTCTTTTTGAATTTGAAGATCTCGGTTGAATCACATCTATACTTTTTTTTGATCTACACATTAGTAGGACAAACCGAAAAGGAAAAATTGAAACTTTTTCTTGTTTTTCAAAGGGAAAGTTGGATCTTTACAAAGAAAATTTTGGTGGGTTATAAGGTGGTAATTGGTTCTTCGTGGTGGTTGTGATGGTGGTGCTGACGGCAAAGGAGGTTGTTGTTAGGAGACAAAAGGTTAAGTTCTATGGGGAAAGAAGGATCAGAAAATCAAAAGAATTTGTTAAAATTCCAAAATGACCAAAAAAACCAAGCTATCTCTTTTTGTTTAGAAATCTTTGTTGGTTTTGGTAGCTTGCAGTGTTGTCTTTCTCAATGATCTACAGTTGGAATTGGCTTTCCGTTTTTCCTGAAATTAATTAACTTTTTAGGAGGCACGTGTGAGTTTTGCAGTTGAACTTTGAAGTTGAACCGGGGAATTCTTCATAACTAGAAAAGAAAATTTGCCATTGTTTAGATTTTCTCTCTACAACAATTTCTCAAGGTTATTAATTTTTCTAATGATTTTTTAAATCTACCTATATAATCTTCAAATGATTTTTTTTGACAAAAAAAATCATGAATAAATAATAAATTATTTAATTTTTTAGATCAAATTAAAATGTATAATATCTTATAACTTAAAAAATAATAACTGTAAATCTTACATCAATGATCATACTAAATGATTATCGATTAAATTTAAATTTAAAATTACTTACATTAAAAAAATGATCTTACTAATTAAATAAACTTATTTATGATTTTATAATTTTTTTTCATATAATATACAAATTTGACTCTAAATCAATTAATAGTAGAGATTTAACATCTTATAGTTTAAAAAATAAATGGTGCAGTTTATACCTTTGAGATAACTATAATAAGATATGACTCAAACCTAAAATTATTTATATCAAAGAGAATAATTCTACTAATTAAACCAATTTCTTTATGATCAAAGCATTATTTTTATTTTCGTATAATATACAAATTTGGCTCTAAATCAATCAGATTTAGCATTATTTTTAATGAAAATTTGAAGAACAAGGTTTCAAATAAAAAAAAAAGTGATTTTCTTTTAATGTTATGGTACATGAATTCCGAGATAAGATTCTGATTTTTTTAATAAAAAAAGCAAGAAATTAATTTTCTTTCATTACCATCAAAGATTCTGATTTTCATGTGTTGTCAACTTGTTATACCCTTTCATTGGCTGCTTCTACCCCACGCCGCCATCATAAAATATAATGTTTGACAAATTCATGAGGAATATGATTGGGGTGGTAGACTCATCAGCAACAAGTAAATATTGAGACAATAAACAATATTGAAGATTTCTTATTACCATAGGAGACTGCTATCAGCAGTTGTCGGGTGAGAGCTGCTTTAGTTGAATATGTGTTTTTTAACCCTTTTTTATTGGGAAAAGAAATCTAGATATGCCAATTTCTTTTGGATATTCAAGTAGAACGAAGTTCCATACTCATTATAACCATAACATGACATCCTTGTGATTTCAGAATTCAATTTCTTTTACTCGTTATGGAACTGGCTTTATCCATGCAAATGGATCATAAAGGATAAGTCAATTTGAATGATGGACCATCATTTGGTATTTTCTGCTCACAGTTGCATATTAATGTCATTTTTTTTGTCAATAAAATTTTAGAAGGATCAAAACAAGTGCAAAATTCAGAAAAGATTTACATTAAATTTACAAATTGTTTATAAAAGAGAATTGCTGACGATGAGACTCAAATCTAAATTTTACAAATGAAGTATTCAAAATTTACCACCTCAACTAACCTTTGTTGGCTATTAACATCATCAATGGTAGCTTAGTTAGGCTGCCAACAAATTATTAGAAACCAGAGTTCTTTAGGCAAAACTTGTTAATTGCCAGCCTACCATACTTCATTGTAAGTTGGCTACATTCCACTTGAGATAATCCAACAGCTACTTTTATTGCTGCCAATTTCCTAATTACAGCTACTTGCATCTCTGGTTAAATCAGGATTTATGTTTCATCTTTTGAGATTCAGAGATAAAGCGCGGGTCCTCTCTCAGCTTTTGAGCCATCAGCTAGAGCAATTTCTATGGCCCATCTGCTCTTTTTGTCTCGGGTAACCCTTTTTTTTAGCATAAATGTTTAGGATGCTTGGAAGCTTCCCTATTCTAGGATTAAGGCATACCGCAGGCTTCATTAAAGACGCATTGGATTGACAGATCGCCTACCAAGGTGACAGCTGACAGCGAGAATCGAGTCTAGGCCTTACAACCTAAGTATTCGATACTTACCAACTCAACTAACCCTGTTGACTTACCCGGTAACCTTTGCTAATTAACAAACACCAGTAAACTCGAATACTGTTTAGAAGCATCAATGTGTTCATGGAAGATGTAAATGCATGAAAATCAAGCTGCAGAAAAGCATAAATATAACATCAAAAGTGACATGGTTAATTACCTGAAAAAAATAATATCAAAAGTTTTAACTTTCAACTAAATGCTGAATTTTCTTACCACTGGCAAGTTCAAACAATAAAAACCAAAGATTAAAGAGCTTCGGATAATGCATCATGATGGAAATTTCATCTCATTTCTATACAATTATGAGGAAAGTTATTCCAGGCTTTCAAATGGTATGCACTGTATGCTTTTATGCTGTGGAGATAAGACATGATGGCCTAACCAATATGAACTCATTTCAAAACAATAATATCTACCTGGCAACAGGCCTATGAATGGATAATCAAATAAATCTAACCAAGGAAACCCACTCCCTCATGCGCAAATGAATATGGGAGATAGGGGGTATAACCTAAGTGACGAAATTTACTGACAGATTTAGATCATTATTCGTATGAGTTTCCTGTTGCTGAAGGTTCAGTGGCGCCATGCATGAGCCTTGAGAGCTGAAGGATTCCACTTCTGCACGTGGAAATACAATGCAAAGAAATGCTAGATTGGACACTGATTTTCACTTCTTCTGGAATGTAATCATACCGAGAAAAGCAATTAAACGGCTGACTACACCAGTGAGAATGAGGATGACTATACAAAGGGTCCATTCATGTAGATTATAACCACTTTTCAGAAGAGCTCCAGAACGAGTGATTAACCACACTCTATAGTACCTGAAATGTAACATTTACATATTTATCTTTGATCTCTCAAATAGATAAAGGGGTGAATTAGCCATACCTTCCAGCATTTGCTATCACAAAAGCTGCCAAAGCCCACTTAGGATAGCACAAATTAAATATCTTTTTCAAAACTTCACTATCATTTGTCTGAGTGGCAACAAGAGTCAAAACAACGGGAAGAAGAACCGACCACTACAAGAAACATTAGAACGTCAAGGAATTGTTTTCCACTACAAGAACAGCTACGTAAAAAGGCATTGTTTTCCACTCTTAGCACATGCTAATCTTACTCACCAGCTGTGCAGAACAAGGTTGAAAGAAGATGGCCAATGCATAGGCTATACCAGTCATACAGTACACTAGGCACAGCAAGACAATATAATTTTCCGTGAACAAAGATCTTGGATTTGTGAAGAAAAAGAACATGGAGAGATACACCACAGGCTTGATCACTGTATTAAAATGGTCAACCGTGTCTTTGGCTAAAAAGTAAGCTGAGCTGCTCATGCCAGATGCACTCTCTCTCCAATAGTGTAATTTATCCAGTGAATATGATCTCAAAGCTGCTATTTTGCATAGAAGGGCTGAAAACATCAAGATCAATTATGGTGAGCAAGTTATTTCATACGGCAACCGAATTACCATATGGAATGCACATCATCGTTAATAATTCTAGCAAATGTATTTTAGCCTTCTATATGAAATTTATGCTTCATTTTTAAATGAATATAATGTTTTATAAAAAAAAGACTTTGCTGGAGGCAAAAGTAAAATGAAGTTCCTCCAGTGCTGTTGCAACTTTCATGGGAACAAATCAAAAGAGCAAGTTAATTTGAAGAAATCCTTCTAGCATAAGTCCAACTTACAGACTGCAATTATGGTATAAGTATAACCAGCTGCCCCAAAGTTTTTGTCACTTGTTTTAGCTAATGTTCCTAAGCAGGCTCCAGCAAGCAGTAAGATCAGATAATCTGTTGCTTGCATCTTAGCTTCCCTCATTCGCTGTTTAGCAACCCTGAAATATTTGTGGGAATTAAGAAGCTGAAGATCTGTCAAGAATAAAAAAAATAACATGAAGAAATTGAACTGTATTCACCACCGGATAGTTAACTCAAATGATCCTACAAAATTTACCCCCTGTTGAAAATTTATCAAGCACAAGCCGTTAAAGACTCGTAATAACAGTTATAGAAAGGAAAATTGTGGTTTTTTAATTCATAATTTGACATAAATAATCTTTCGCAATTTAAAGCCCAAAGGCCATCATCTATTCAGACCAATTCATAAGCAGAATCACTGGGATCTCAACAACCTTAAACAGAAAAAAGCAGAACTTTTGAAGCATTTCATGCCTAAAACTTTATTATGGTGCTGTCAATAACTGCTTTGCTCCGAATAAAACTTATAATCAACATATCTGACAAAAGCTATCGAATACATGTTGTATAAATGAGGTTTCTATCATTCAACATTTTACTGAATTAATCATCATAAAAAATTTGAAACAACCTGCAATCCAAACAAAAACTAGACATTACTGACCTCCCAAGAAAGTATCTGTATTGCCACAGTATGCCAGGAGTTCTTCGGCTTGATAAGTCCTTATACTTTAAGAAATTGTGGCATATGTTATCCCGCTTCAACTCCACATTACTCCTGACATCTTGCCATAACTCTCTAGCGAAAGATCTTTCCTCCATTCCAGCATGAGCAGGATTTTTCCCATTTGCTGAACCTACACTCGCTGAGGGCACAACAAGCCGAGCAGCACTTTGCTGCAGGTCAGGGGGCACTGGGTACCCTTTGTGAAGAATCCATCTGACAGGAAGTTCTTTATAGTTTACACCTGAGTTTGCATTTGGAGTTATCATACCCTCTAAAATGTCAATAAAGTGGTCTGGAGGGTTAACATGTTCTGGGACATGGATCCCAAGGCCTGCAAAGTATTCTTCTACTTTCTTTGGTGAACCATGGTAGACACCGAGGACACCTTTGGCCAAAAGTACTAGATAATCAAACATTTGAAACAAGGCATAGCTGAACCAGAAATTTCAGCAATTAATACAGAAAAAAGACAGCATACTCACATACCTTAGAATCTAAAATGAATTTTACAATGACTTTTCTTAACCGAGTTTCTAAGTCCTGCATATTAGTTAATAATATGTTTCTTATATGCAAGGATACAG